TTATTCTGCTTTATTCTGTTATTTACTTACTAATCGTGTACTTTTTTTCTGGTAGGTTCTAAGATCTAACGAATGAACAGTATAAAATAAGCAAGTTCCCACCTATAAGATAAGTTAGCAATAATGTTACTTTTTGCTCATATATATATTTACTTGGTTCACTCGCCTATAATTTATTTTTTAAGTAATTTGATATTTTATTTAATGGAGACTATGAAAACAAATTTTTGCTTACTTTGTTTTTTGTATTTAGGTACGAAAAATGAGCATTAATGATAGTACCACCTCCAAGACCAACAATACCTCCAAGACCAATGATAATACTACTTCCAAGACCAATGATAGTAATGCCCCCAAGACTAATAACTCTAATCCAGAAAGTGATCAAAAAAAGCTATCTGGTGTGGGCATACTGTAATTCTTGATTATCAAATTCTATTTAATTATCTGGATATCAATCCTATAATATTTTCAAAAGTAATAAAACCTCATGGTTTCTATAGCTTTTGATTTTTTATTTGTATTTGTATTATTTTATTTGTATGTTCCCATTCTGGCAAAAAAAAATTTATTAAATAAAGAAGGAGGGTCCTGTAGCCTTCTTATGTTTTATTTTTACGTGATTTTGACCCTTTAGGGTCGCCCTTTCGGGCCTGCAATGCAGTAATGTAGTGCATTAATATGTCATTTCTCTGAAATACTTCTATGTTGATTCCACCCATAATAATTTCTGGATTAAAGATTACTTAGTTCTAACTAGCTTATTTCTACGATGTTTTCAGCTAGGAGAGATAACCTTTTTCTTTGTAATATAGATGCATTTCTTTCGGTTTTTTTTTAGATCAAGATTGTACCAGTCTGAACCCGTAGATTCTGAATCAGAACTGGATAAATTAGTCTCTATAGATAATTTCTTAAACATATCTATAAACTTTTCTAAATTAAAATCAGGTTTATCGATTTCTGTTTCAGAATGAGATAAGTTATTTTTACTAGAGCTAGCTTTATTACTATTTTCTTCAATTAATAGAATACTTATACTATCGATTACAATTTTAGCATGGCAGATACAGGTTTTGGGAGAATGTCCAAAGCTTATTTTTGCTTCACGCATCCATAACCAATCTTGCCCCAACACCAGATCGAATAATGGATTTTTGTGAATTTGAAAGTCTATTAGTTCAGTATTACCTAAACTTTGCCACTTTCTTTTAATATGAAACTGTAAATCTAAGCCTTTTATTTCTTCACCTATCAGATCATCACCAACTATACCTTCTAATCTGTGATCAAATTCAAGCTTATCGAATAAGTGTTTGCTAATAGTATTATATTTAGATGTTGTATCAATTAACACTTTTACTGGGATTTTTTCTTCTACGAGTGTATTGATGAACATGTTAAATATGTTTAATGATGTATATTATAACCAAAAAATAATATTTATTCTGAATTTTATTATGTATTAATATAATAAATAATAGCAAAGCTAGTACCAGAGTACATATTACGATACGATATTGACAATGAATAAAACTACATTAGAAAATAATCATAAATCTCGAAATAGTAATAGTGTGATATCTCGCATTATTAAACAAGTGTTAAATAAAAAAATTCAGATCTCTTTTCGTCAATTACTAAAAATAGTAAAACCCGAGATTCGGCAGGATATTATAAACTCGATAGCAAACCCAGATATTTCTCAGAGAAATTGTACACTATCTGAGGCTAAAAGAAAAAAAACAATTTTTAACAATACCGCATCTGAGTCCTCGTCTGAATCTGGGTCCAGCTCTGAATCCTTTTATGATAATAAAGATTTTACTATAGATATAGTAAAAGTGAAGAAGCACAATTAATCTTGATCATAGATATGAAATCGTCTTGCTTGCTCATAAGGAACGCCTCTTTTTCTATAATTGACTACAACGTAATTTTGCACAGGAGAAGTATGATTATCAGATGAATGACATAGACATTCTCCAGCAATTGTATAAGCGTGGGCCATATTCTTAGCCTCATGTGCTACTGCATCGTAAACTGCTCCTAATTTACGTAAATATTTAGGAATTAAATCATAATCTTTTAAGAATTTATTGAACCATTTAACTCC